GTGTGTGTGTGTGTGTGTGTGTGTGTGTGTGTGTGTGTGTCTGTGTGTGAGTGAGTGTGTGTCTGTGTGTGAGTGAGTGTGTGTGTGTGTGTCTGTGTGTGAGTAAGTGTGTGCATGTCTGTGTGTGCATATCTGTGTGTGTGTGTGTGTGTGTGTGTGTGTGTGCGTGTGGACCCACAGGAGCAAATCAGCTCTAATCACACACGACTGATAATGAATTTGACTACAACACACCGAACCATTGTTCAAACACGTGTGTCTGACTCGCTGTTCACAATCACACACACAGATAAAAGTCAAACTGGCTGATGAGGCTTTGATATCAGCAGTTCTCTCTCTCACACACACACACACACACACACACAGGCCAAGGGTGAGGTGGTCCATCTGCTCACAGTGCAGTCACCGTCCCACCAATCACACGCCGGCACGACACAATCACTGCACACACACACCGCACTAAACATGGCATCACACACTCATCACTCATCCTTTCGTTCATGTAAAAATATTTACTATGATTAAGAATTATTCTGTGTATTTTCAGCGTAATGCCTGTGAACGGATTCATCAGATGCAGGGCCGCCGCTATGGTTTCTGGGCCCCTCGTCGGACCCTTGGAATCATCCTGATATTTGCTCATTTTGAGATGATCAGCCTCTGATCAATGCGTTCGATTAGCTGATGAACAGCAGTGATCGTTTTCTTTCTGTCACTTTTAACTAAAATACATAAGAGTCCATAATCCATAATAACTCTTCCTCCAGTGAAAAAGTGCATCTGCTGTTGTCTCTCACATCAAAATCCAGCCACATATTAGTTTAGAGCTGTTTAAATGCTGCTTGATCTGTGCAGATTTCTCTCCTGATTCACACCAGAACACTTTTTCACTGGAGGAAGCTGTATTATGGATTATTTTAGTTAAAAACGTCTTAATGCTGGATTTGTCTCAGCTTTTGTCTTCTCCAGATGTTAACTGATGGACTGGAGTGCTGTGGATTACTTGTGGATTATTGTGATGTTTTTATCAGCTGTTTGGACTCTCATTCTGACGGCACCCATTCACTGCAGAGCATCCATTGGTGAGACACTGATGCAGTGCTACATTTCTACAAATCTGATTAAGAAACAAACTCATCTTCAGCAGATTATCGTGTAGAGTAACGCACTTAAATGGATGTCTGTGTCGTGAAATTATTGAAATATTAACTTAAAATCTCAACCATTTGATCTAAAAGAGGTTCGGCTGATAAATACGTTTATCACACATTTACTCTCAGCGAGGCGTTTGGCTGTTCGTGACTTCAGATCAACTCGACTCGAGTGAACGCTACAGAAACACTTGCGATAACTTGACAGTGACGTCACACGGCGTGATGATGACATCATCTCGGCCTCAGCCAATCGGCGTGCAGCAGCACAGTATCACCTGACAGCTGGTGTGCAGCTCGGTTTCAGAGGAGCACACTTCAGATACGGAGGCTATTTTTGGCCCCGCTTTGGAAAGACGGCTGGAAAACTGGAGGGAAAACAACCCGACACAGAGCAACACAACACTGACATGCTGCATATGACTGATCTCATCCACGCAAAGCACAAATCTGCATTGGCAGTGACAGTTGTGAGTCAATAATCTTCTGTGAAGGATCATGAAACGCTGAACTCACGGTGTCACTGCAATATTCTCATTTCAGCTGATAAGCACACAAACACCTCCAGGAGCTGAGGTTTTCTACACCATGATAAACGTCAACAGGACCATCTACCAAACCATCAGCATCAAACCGCGCAGTGACTCAGTGATGCTCAGATGAAGCAGCAGCTGGAGTAAAAACAGAAAGATTATGGAAACATACCCCATTTTGCTAGCTCACAGGTCTCCGCTGATATGCTCGTGTTGATGCTGCTGAGTGCGATTCAGTCCGCCGTGACGCTCGGATGCTGAACGCCGCTGCTCATGATGAAGATGATGATGAAGAAGACGAGTGATGCTCCAGATACTGAGCGATGATCATCGGCTCCTCTGCATCCTCCTCCTGCAGCGGACAGATGATTGATTTCCTCAACGCGTCCGGTCCTCTCGCTCCTGCTGTCTGTCATCACTCTCCGAACTCTGACGTCACGGACAGTACACGCGTTCCGTCACTTCCGGCTGCTTCTCGACCGCTTCCATCGCAGACGAGCAGCTTTGCTACAGACTGAAATCACAGCGGTGCTCTTCCGCGGCGCCATCTACCGGACACTGCATGAGAATTAACGAGCCATCATCATTAGTAATCAGCTCAGAGATGAAGAGACACTATTTGACTCATTTATCAGACTGCACTGTTCTGGCAATTAACATGAGTTTATAGGTGCGTCCCAAATCCCAAACCTAACCCTAATGCTTATGCACTATTCTATGACGTCTTGTAGTATAAACAGTGCGAGTGCTGCATTCACACTGAAAATTCCAAAAAGAAAAAATGCACCTTTAAATACCCGGATGATGCATGAGTGTGGAATGCTGGACACTTCATGCACTCAACTACGTCCCGAAGGGGGAGGGGCTATCAGACTCCGATTATGAATGACAAAATAAACTTATATAATTCATACACTACATGGTTGAGTACATAGTGCATAAGTACATAGTGTACGAGTGCGTCATTTGGGACGCAGCTAATGTAAACAGTAATTGGGCTGAATAACACTAAATTAAATCAAGGAAACACCTCAGTCCGATAATGCAATTAGCTGGTTAGTGCACCAATGGACACTCTTTACCGCACACAAACTCTCACATGCTCTCAAACGCTCTCTCTCTCTTGAAGTTTCTGATTTCACCCTGATCTTGAGTTACTCATAACTGCAGTGATGGGCATCAGCAGGTGATTCAGTGAACAAACCCAGAGCTGCATCTGCTTATCTCTGGATCACAGATTTATACAGATATTGATTTTCTTGGTTTTCTTTTACCCTCTCCTCATAAAAATCAGTAGCACGGTTTGTAAAAATAAATACTTAAGTATAAATGCTTCTGAAGAACAAAGTGTACTTGTGTGAAAAGCTTCTGTGACCTATCACACACATTTTCACCCAATTTATATATAATTTCTCTTTTCGTGAAATACTTCCTTGGTACGTCGTTTGATTCAGTTTATGTGTTGTCTTGAGTGGATTAATAAAACAGATTTAAGCAGTTGTGTTGTTCATGTTACAAAGTCGTAACAAAGTGGGGGCTCGTCCGGGATTTAAACCCAGGATCTCTCTAAATATTTTAGAACTGAGAATAATTAGAAAAAATGTGAAAGTTTGCAATTGTAAAATGCTTTTTCTTAAATTTGTACACATTCCATAACTATGGGAAACCTAAAAAGGGTCACGTGAGAATCTCTTGCTGGGAAAATGTGAGATTTTACATGATGTAAAGGTACAAAAAAAAAAAAAAGAAACAGCCATAGAATGTTAAACTGATTTATTGCTGCAACACAACACCCAAAAACAGAATTTCAGAAGCAACCGGATCTTGGAGTGACGCCGCAGATGCCTCAGATTTTTGCCATGTTTCATTCTGATTGGTCTCTGGGTGAATATTTGACTTGTGTAGTTTAATGCAGCCCGTAATAAACATCTAGTCTGTTTTCCTTCAACTCATCATGACCTGCAGCACCTCTGAGAAGCTCAAGTATCTGTGAAGTATTTTTAGGTTTGGCAGGGCGATGCAAAAAACCCAATACCTGTTTTCACAATGTGATACCAGGAGCACAAAGTTAAACTCTGGACAACCTTGCTGTTACCAGGATGGGCTGATAAATCTTCAAGCACAATTAAAATTTCACCTTTTGAGGATGACTGGCACCTGCGAGTAGATGCACCACGCCTCACTGCATTCTGCTGCTCTCGCAGAAAACGGGACGCCCGCGTCAGGCTATTTACAGATAATGCTGAGCAAGAGAAAGTTCCCACAGCTGAAATGACACGAAGAGAGCAACCCATTCGCCTGTAAAGTGCTTCTGATTAATGCAACCTGCAACAAAAAATGGAAATGATGGAAATAATGGATCCAGAGAGCCAGATGACAGCACTGTTGGACGACACTCTGGCAGAAGAACAGCTAAACGACGAGCTGGAGGATCTGAGCAACAGGTGAGAACCTCAAACACACATTAGAGAGCTTAGAGCAGATCAGCCATGTCAAACCGCAGCTGTTTATTTATAATCTTCATTAGTATTCCTGCTTGCACAAGCATGCAAATGCATGACTATTACTACTATTAGCGTGACTTTTTGTTACTAATGAAATGTTTGAATGATGAATCAATGTTAAATACCCTGCAGTTTGAGAGAGGTGGTCCAGGATGGTGCGGTCAAGCCGAAGCTCCACTGCCTGATGATGGATCCGTCCTTCTCGATGGTGACGGTCCAGAGCGAGGACAGCGGGATCGTTTGGGAAACCGCTTCCAGCCGCTGCTCAACACCCTGGGCCTCCGAGTTCAACTCGCTGGCCTCCGAACCCGGATACAGCTGCTGCGGCTCCGGAGCGGCCGGCAGGATCGTCTTCATTATGGACGAAGAACTGATGAGCCGAAGAAAGAGGAAGCCAAAATCTGAGAAATCAAAGATGCTTCCTCAGGTCAGCCACGAGATCCTCGCTGAAGCAGAGAGACCAGCCATGGTGGAAGTGTCCCTGCCGAATGTGACACGGGAAGAAGGAACAGACGAACACAAAACAGCTGATCTGAGAGAAGAAAAGCACCAGCGTTTGTTCAGTCTCGTCTCTGAAGGATCTGAGATACTAAACATCATCGCTCCGCCGAGAGTCTCCACCGTGGATGAAGAGGAGAGCAAAGGTCTGGAAGATAACTTGTATTACCTCGAGGAGACGCCTGCTGTGAAATCCGCAGAGATCCTGGACGAACCTGAGCTGGACTTTGAGACTGTAGAGACGGAGAAGAACGTTTTATTGATACCAGAGCCTGTTGTCCCGTCTATCCAAATATCCCGAAGAGGACAGACGACCGAGGACTACTTTGAGAAGTTCACGCTCCTTGACCATCAAGCTCCATCAGGAGCAGCACCAGTAGAAGAAGCCCAACGGGAGACAGAGGACAAGGTCACAGAAGAAGATGGTCCTGAAGCAGAACCAGGACCTGGACTTTCTGGAGTCTCCTCAGCTGTGAGTATGCTAGACATTTCTGGCGAACACTTGGACGATGTGTTTTACGGCGGAGGGAGCGAGCCACCTACTGCTGCAAGTGTTAGTGAAAAGGAAAGAGAGCTTTCCAGATCCTCTCTGAAGGAAAGCGGAAGCGCCTTGTTTGGAAGCGAGGAGTCGGTTCTCACTCCCATATACCTTCCCGAAGGTCCTCTGAAAATCATCGACCCCAATTTGCTCGAGGAGCCCAAAGCCTTGGCGTTTCTCTACTCGGACCTGTACGCAGACGCCGTCGGTACCAGAAAGAAGCAGGACGATGACGTCGAGAGCGTGACCTCCGAGAAATCCTTCCACAGTCAAGCGTCCGACTCTGAGGACAGAGGCTATCTGGAGAAGTTTGTGCTCAAGGTTGAGACTCTGGCTGACGTTGTTCCTGAGATAAGCCCAGAGGAACGGCATGACCCTTCCAGACTCGCCGGGTACATGGAACACCACAAAGAAGAAGTGGACAATCAGGCAGAAGAGCAGGAAGAGATCACGGATTTCTTTAGGAACAGTGCATCTTCATCGCCCTGTGAACCTGTCGACTTCGAGCAGCTGGAGAAAGAGGAAAAGATCGAAGCTGTCAGGACGCCTCGGGTTACTTTCAAAGATGAAGCGCCAAAGAATAAACCCAATCATCTACCGTTGGCTGACGACACAGAGTTTTCAGATGAGTTTTTACCAGTTGAAATAAGCGAGGATTGTTTGGCGTGGGAGGAAAACTTGCAGACGGTTGTCAGAGCTGCGGTAAAATCAACTTCAACACGCACAAATGAACTAAGACAAAAAACAAAGTCAGTAAGCGATAAAAGCTCTCCAGCACCAATCCAAGCCCAAAACACAGTCAGACCCATAATTCCACACCACAAACCCTTCCTGGATCTGAGCCTGCTGCTGCGCGTCCAGACCGAGGACAAGACCGAAACAACAGAGGCAGAGAACACAAGCGCTGATGCCTCATTCAGCACCAAAGCAGCAGCAGAGGTCAGCAATCAGGACTGTTCGATCCCCGGAGAACTTCCCGACGTGACGGACTCCAGAGGAGAGAGCCGTGATGATAGAAATCTCACAAATCTGCTGCATGAGGACGCTGCTGAAGCTCCAGCTGCTTCGAGCAAGTCTGATTGGCATTTGAGCCTTGCTGATTCGCTGGCTTGACAACGAGTGATCCGTAAGCATCTGCGTCCATCCTTCAACAAAACAGAAAACGAGCAGAACATTATCAGGAGTCTCTATGTCTGTCGTGATGCATCTGAGAGATTCAAATGGAAAAACAGATAAATATGATAGGCAGTTCCTGTACAGTATACGGCTGTAGAAGCCTATGATCTGTGTTTGTGAGAGTGTATGTACAGATTACAACTTAGCCTACCTCAACAGCTGAAAACAAGTAAATTACTTAAAAAAACGTAACATGTATCTGTGCTTAAATGATGTACATATGGTTATAATAGTCACTTCTCTGAGTAAAACCATGCAGTCAGTGATGCTGCTCAGGCTTCAGCATATGTACATATGTACTTCATTTAAAAATAATCAGTCACAAACATGCGTAAACATTTGTGAATACAATGAATAAAGTATAAATTATTTACTGTTGACATGGTGAATGTGCTGAACTGTCTAAATGTTTCTAAATATCTTTTTCGTTAGAGACCCAAACTAGGCATCAACCAAAAATCAAAATCAATTATTTTCTGAAGCACACGGTAAAGTTCTTGTCTTGATCTTGAGACACCTCACCAGGGGCCCCTGGTCTACAGCATTACGGTAGGCCCCCTACCCTAGATATTGTTTTATTTTTATTTATTTTTTTAGTTTCCTGACAATTATGTTGAATTTCTCTTGTTGACATGCCAATTAACATTTACAACACTGTTCTGCTTAAAATATGAATACAAGTGAATATGCAAATTCACTCTTTGCCAGAAGGTGGCGCTTGTGGAGCAGCAGAATTATAGCCTTCATATAAAGTAAACACTAGGCTATTACAGGCATTATACAGAGGTAATATGAATTCATTGTGCATTCGGTGGAACATATCAACTATACAAACTGTGTGGGGGAAACCTAAACCGAACCATTCACTTCATATACTACAAGCAGGGCGTCGCTGAAAATGAGTGTCCGAGTTTGTTTGTACAGAATGCTGTTGTCACTGTTGCAAAACTCCCATATATATAAATAATTAATAGAAAAATATAATTTACCTGCAGCCAGTAGGCCCCTCCCAAGTGTGTAAATATTAAGTCATTAACTGATTCTTAAACCTTTAAGAAAGTTAATGATATTATTATTTGTCATTAGAGGCACAACATTTTTTTATGAAAATATCCAAAAACCACTAGAACAGTGTTATATATTTTGCTGACTTGTGTACTTACATTATCCCAAATGTTTTGAAGAATGTTTAAATCCAGAGAAATAAGCAATTTTAACTAGTGACACGGAGCGTGTCTATAGTGTCATTGTGTCGCCTGCCAATGACGTCATAACCCCTCGATTTCCGTTTTGTAGAAAACATGGAAACACCAAAGACGCTTTAATATGTTGTGTGTTTTAATAGACCGGTGACGACCATCGGCTGTGGGGATGAAGACCACAACTCCCATGATTCCACACTCAGTCACAGCGTCATCAAACTTTGTCTATTTGTTTATTTTTAATACACGCCCTCTAGCGGCGAAAATGAGATATTGTGCCTTTAAGTATCTTACCCCGATAATTCGTGCCTTTTCTGTCGTACGCTGCGCACGTGCACAGCTGGGGTCAAACACGCATCAAGATATTAACACGACTGATATTTGACACAAAAAAATATATTTACATGCGAACTGGCTTAAATATAACATTTACAAAAAAAAAAAAAACACTCATAACCAGAAATTAAAAATCTGAACAAGAAAATATATGGGTTTTCAGGTGATTGATTAAACAAACTTGAGAATGACTTTTACAGAACAAAAGATGCGAAATGAAATATGACAATTAAAAACCATAGTCAATGAGTCTTACCTGCGGTCCAGAACCTGATGCTCGAGTCCGGATCCGGATCCGGATTCAGTTCCGCCGTCTTCACGTCACATGATCCATGACGTCACAAATCAACTGCATTTGTTTTTTAACAGATGACTTCATACAAATGAGGAAAACCCCTCGTCTAACATTTCACCTCAAAGATTCTGCTAGTAAAAGTTTTCAACCTTTAAAATAAATTTGTAAATAAGAAAAACAAGTTGAGACCAGTAACTCCCTGTAAAACTGTTATTTGCATGCAAACATTTTTTTAAATCAATAAATAAAATAAAAATGATCATAACAAGCATAAAAGAAATGAATTCTTCAGTGAAGTCACTTTGGCTGAAATCTGAGTTTCGTAATATTCTGTATTTGATGATTTTATAGTGGTAAGAGTTCAAGAAACATCCTAAGAGACCGCAGAAGTGAATAACAGGCCTCTTTTACAAAGCAATGATCTTTCAACAGCAGACAAAGCACAGATATTGAAATATTAAAATATCTAAAACTGTTCCAACACCAGGAGTCTGTGTTTAAATTCAGAATGTAAAGATACTCACATATACAGCTGTGACACTGACTTAAAAACACACCTGATGAGCCGAGATAATATAATGACAATCATCATCGTCTGTGAGAAATAACGACTGGAACAGAGTGTTGGACAACTGTTATTATTATTAATAATAATCTCTCTTTACACCCAGTGTTGTGTGGACATCTTACTTCAGTACATCATGGTTTTATTGCAGTTCAGAATCGTGTAGAAAAACAAGCGCCTTGTTAAACAGCACAGACCTGCAGATAAACCATCAATCATCATCATCATCATCGCTCCAGGAGATAAACATCTGATCCCGCTGCCAGTCGATCACGTTCATCATGAGATTGCAATTACTGCACACACACACACACACACACACACACACACACACACACTACGTCAGACCAGTCCAGAACTGCTTCTCTAGGTGTAAAACTGAATGATTACATGAAGACATGCGCAAAAATCAGACCTGCAGCATGATGTGATTCATGAATGACTCTTTTGAACTGTTCAAACGACTCACGAATCAGTGTCAGACTCATCACGCACTGGGCTATGAAAGCTTATGCCTCCCTTTATGTCTTTATCAGTGTAATTATGACAGTTCGTGAAAACTGTGTTTTAATGACAATGTGTACTTTGTGTAAAGTAATTACCAAAACTTTAACCCTATAGCTACTGTATCACATGACAGACACACATCTGAGGCTCTAAATGATCAGACTTTGCTGTTAAACCTGTTTCACACTCGATCTCCTGCATGTCAAGTGTAACTTAATAGGAACATTCTTAGATCATATTTTTGTTAACTGAGTAATAGCCGAATGTATAAGACACATAATATTACAATCACACTTTTCATACACATTCATATACACTCCAGATATGTGTCCACTCCGTCACGAGCGTCTGCGTGACGTCACCGGGGGTTTATAGGCAGAGCTTGTCCTCAGCATCGCACAGAGCAGACAGCAGACAGCAGACAGACATGAGCGCACAGAGACTCGGTTCTTTCTGCTTTCTTCTGGCTTTGATCTGCTTCACGAGCTGCGCTCCGCCGACCTGTTACTCGCGCGCTCTGGAGCTCAGCAAAGAAATCATGAGCAATCTGGACAAAATACAGCGATATAGTCGCACGGTAAGAGGGTTTATGCTGGTACCTGTCCCTGTTACATCTTTATTAGAGTGTTTGCTCATCTGCAATACATCTATTGTATGTTTCCTATCAGATGTCAAATAGACGTCTATTAGATGCCTTTAAGATGTTTATGATTTAGAAAGTATGTAAAACTGACAGCTGAAAGACGTCTAGCAGATGCTTTCCAGATCAAGCGATCTTTAACAGACCTCTTGCAGACGTGCGTGTGCTATCTGGGGTGTGATTATGTTATGGTCCTGTATAAACTTGAAACTTGAATTCTTGCAGAAAACATGCGCTGAGTTCCTGCCGAAGATGTTTGTAGACGTGCACGTGAGTGAGCATTTCTGTCAGCTGTGAGAATGATTAACTAACCTGCACGTTATCTTTCTGCTGAGGACAGGCAGTTACTGACTACATGTACTCTGGTTTACATAATCAGATTCCAAAAATAATGTACTTGTAATTAGAGTATATTACATTTTAAAATGCTCATAATTAGATTACAGTTACATGATTACACATTAGTCAAACAGTGGCAGTATATTATTCATAATTATTCACTTTTTACCAACTCACAAACCCAGTTTGGGAAACCCCAGTTTAGTGTAATGTTTAATGCATTTTATGATGTTGATATCAAAAAAATTTATATATTTTCTTTCTCTTTAGTTTTTTTTATGTTAATGTGTTACGTTTAATGGTAAGTTTAAAACAAGTTAAATAAAAAAAGTAATCTAACAAGTAATCAGAATGCATTACCTAAAATAAATAGCCTAGATGACATTACTTACTACAATTTTCATCATGTGATCTGTAAGTAATCTATCCAGCACAGAGTATACATAAGCTTTATGAAGTTCATTCAAAAGTTTATTGTGTGTGTGTAGTGTGTGTGCGAGTGAGTGAGTGAGTGTGTGTGCGAGTGTGTGTGAGTGAGTGAGTGAGTGAGTGCATGTGTGTGAGTGTGCGAGTGTGTGTGTGTGTGTGTGAGTGAATGTGTCTGTGTTGTTACCGTGCCATGTCCTTGGTCTCCTGATGAGAGGACTCCAGCTCCAGAACTTTCTGCAGCAGAATGACGCCGCCCTCCTTTATCAACAGAGGGCAGTATTTACCCGCTACAGGACCAGACCAGACCAGAGAAAGAGAGAGAGAGAGAGAGAGAGAGAGAGAGAGAGAGAGAGAGAGAG